AAACTATGGGCCTTTCTTTGAAAATTGTATATGGACTTTTCGGCAATTTGAAAAATGTTACCTATATTGTAATTTATATTGTAATTTATAGTTCATGGGTCAAATATGTAATTTTTTAAAACTTTAATAAATGCACAATATTGATAAGTTAAGTGCACAATACTGTATACGGATATGCACATCAAAAATTACATATTTGAACAATCAACCAAAGAGACGGCCTCCGCCTTTATGCCACTGCTCGTCCGCCGCCGCCACCATTGCTCCTCCGCCTTCTCTCTCCAGGCATCGTCGACCGCCCTCCGTGAACATTCAGGTTTACTTCCGCCGACCGCCTGCTCTCACGACGTCGGCCTTGCCTGAAGCCCGACTTGCCGAAGCCCGACTTGCCAGAAAAACGGGAGAAAATGTACTGGGGACTTGGACCTCCTGTTTGAGAATTAGAATTTGTATAGGGACCTATATGCAATTTTAATAACTTTATTTATATTTCAATTTAACCCATGGGTCAAATGCGTAATTATTGAAAGTTAATAAAAAATTATTTCTTATACAAATTGTCATGCATATATTTAATAATAAATTTAATATAAATATTAAAGTAACATTAAAATCATTTATAATAATTAATAAAGTTTACTATAAAAATAATAAATAAAAAATATTTTAATTATGTAGGTTAACTTGATGTACACTTATATATATTAAAACTAGTTTTCAAATGAACATAAATTATCTAAAAAGGTATAAATTAGCGAAATTTATATAATAGAATGTTGCACTTTATAAAACAACACGTTGCACTTTATCACCACAATCCACAATTAATGTCAATAGCTGCCACCAAAATATTACTCAATATAAATCTATAAAACGTATCTACATAATATTTCAATATTCATCACATAAAAAAAATATAAGCATGCTAACGTATCAAAATATAATTATTGCACCTTATATATCAATATATTGCTCTTTATACATTTCTATACTGCACCTTATAACACAGCTGGTTGCACCTTATAGCACAACACGCTACTGCTACCAAAATTGCAATAATTACGCTAATCGATCAATAATATTATTTGGTTAAAGGTCGGATTTAGTTTTTTTAAGTAATCAAAATAACCAAACATGTTGAACTATATGAAAAAATATTACTGCTTTTTTTGTTATATCTGTTTTTTTTTTAATGAAAATTAATAATATTTTTTACATCTATATTTTTTATGTATTGCAATGGCATGTTAGGGTTATACGGGTTGCACGTAAACGCCTATCAGATTGCACAAAATCACGAATAGAAATTCGGTACGAAATTTTATATTTGAGTCAATTATTATTATTATTATTTTATATATTGGTTATTTCGGTATTTCTTTTTTATTCAAATAACCAAAAAAAAAAAACAAACTATATAAAAAATAATAATTTTTTATTTATTTTTTTTATTTAGATATCCGAAATAATCGAACAGCCAAACTACATAAGAAATACTATTATTTTTTGTTATTGTATTTTTTATGTATATTTATTTCATTGAAAACTATATTTGTGAACAAAAATATGTGTAGGAACTAGGAATCGAGAAAAGTATGATTTCGTAAAAAACATGACTTTCTTTTTTAATGTGTACATTCTCACATCATAATGTGCAATTTATATAACTTTAATGTTCCAAGACTTGTAGTTGAGCCTATTACTAACCTTTCCTAGCCTATGGGGAATTAGACTTTTATTATATTACAGATTGGCCTCATGTTAAATTGAAATAAAAGAAACTTGAATAAATTACAATTAAGCCCCCACAATATATCAAATTTCCCAATGAATAAACCCACAATTTCAACAAGAAATTTCAGCACCACCCCCGTCCACCAGCCCCGGAAGTTCCAGTCACCGTCGATATGGTCACCGCCGCCGTCTTCATCGCCCAAGTGACGCCGCCACATTCCGCCACTAGGACATCGACGACTCCATCCGCGCANCGCATAAATAAAAAAAAAAAAGAAAAAAAAACCAAAGCCATTTTATCCTCACACATCGTCGCCGCCTTTGTGCGGGATACGGGAAGGACGGCGGTGGCGACGCAAATGGGGGCGAAGTCCGGCAACGACATTCAGGGCGGAAGAACGTTGGAAAAAGTTGTTCGCCGGCGGCAATGATTTCTATGGCGGATGTCGTTTTGTTGTGCTGCTGTGGTGGGGCGTGGTTTCACCGTGAACAGCCGCCGTGAGGTTGTCTGATCGGTGGTGCGACTGTGCGAGAGGGGGAGAGAGATCTGCAAGCGAAAGATACAGATAGATACAGAGAGAGAGAGAGAGAGCACGAGAGAGAGAGAGAGAGAGAGAGTTAGACTGATATTGATGTGTGAGGGCCTAATGTCATGTGTGGTAAAATATGTAATGTCCATACTGCCCTTAATTATTGGTCAAATGTGTACATTTGACCATAATGAATATTAATTACCATATTATTATTAATGATTGACTAAATTTTTACTGGATCATAACCATTGATATGATAGATCTAACGGTACATATTCATTCTTATTTCTTTCACTATCTATCATTCTCATATGATCTCTTCTCTGCAACTTAGATTAATCTTGAATCTCAATTAGACTAATTAATTAATAAGGTCAATCTAGAAAATATCTAGAATCTCAATTAGAATAATTAATTAATAAGGTCATTCTAGAAGATAGATGAAAGGTGACAAGATGAAAAATCTATATGCAAATATGTATGGTTCACCACCACCTCATTTGTCTATATATATCTACTCAACATTTGAGGGTTGAAATAATAAAAACAATTTAAAGTGTCTGAATAAGAATTATTTCTAGCTAATTCAAACTCATTAAACATTTTATTACTCAACCCCGTCTATAAAATCTAACATTTTCTTTCTCAAACTCCGATCATTATCCAACCCATCACTTTCCAAAAAAAATATTAATGCAGAAGTAATGATGAATGACGAAGTTTCTCCCCTATTACTCAAGCTCAAACTGGTATAATGACGTTGGATATGGCCGATACGGTTTATGTCCACAATATTAGTTACACGTTCTCTTAAAATAGTCATATTTCTTCAGCCTCCGGCTTCAGTACAAGATCGTATTAGAAATATTTAATTTGGATAATATATATAAATTAATTTGTATATGTAAAGTCTTTATATAATTCAATTAAAGTGATCTATTAATATAATTTTGAAGGAGGAGAGTATCAAATTATTGTGAATTTGAGAGTGTAGATATCATTATAAATTTTTTAAAATTCAATTAAAGTGATCTACTAATTTATAATTTTAAAGGAGGAGAATATCAAATTATTGTTAATTTGAAAGTGTAGATATCATTATAAGTTTTTTTTGGTTTGTTAAGCGACCATACTAAAAACTAAAATAATTACACGTAAATGAATTGGCATATTTTAGAACAAGTGCCTTTCCTTAGAAGACACCATTGCAGTATCGATGAATTGACAGATTCAATACATGTACCTTTTCCCTTGAAAGACATAGATATCTATATATATATATAATAAGAATTAACATTTAACAATAATAGTAGCAAAAAAATAGGAAAAAATTTAATGCAACCTATAAATAGTAAGTTTTATTAATTTTTTATTTTTATCTTTAAAAAATCATACAACATTAAATGTTGCATTAAATTTTGGGCTTTAATTCATTTTATTATTTAAAAATTTCAGCTAAGATCTATTAAGTGTACATTTTTATTTTTTTTCATAGAAATAGTGAAGAACATTAAAATCTCAGTCTCTATATTTATAAAATCTCACTTCATAAGGTAATAAAAATTTTAGAATCAGGGAAGTATCTAGAAAAATATTTGGGGGTGACTAGAATTGTAAATCGAACAAAATTGTCTGCGAACATAACTCGGCCTGACTAACAGGAGATACATGGACTACATGTTTTATTTATAAAATAGTTTAGAAATATTTTGGGTGACTTCACATCTTTCAATAATGATATATAAAATTTTAGATACTTCACATACGTTATATAATATTTTAGGTGTTTTTAATATTTTAAACATACATTTTTTATGTTATTTTATACAAGATAATTTTATATTGTTTACAACTGATATACGATAAATTATGTCACATATTAACTCCACAAATTAATTACAATTTTTAGTTAAATATTGTTTACCTCATCTTTAATTTATAATTATTAGTTAATATTGTTTACTATCATCGTTAATTTATAATTATTATTTAATATTATTTACCCGTGCATCGCACGGGCTACACACTAGTAAAGACATATACGATGTGTGAAGAAGAGAATAAATTAGTCTACACATATCTTCAAGTATATTTGTTAAATAAATCTGCATTATTCAAACATGAATGAATTTTGGGATTGGATTAACTTCTTTTTGGGTATTTATACCAACAAGTGGTAAGTTGTTTGGGTTCAAGATGGAACATAAAATCTGCACCAAACAAAAAAAAAAGATGGAACATAAAATCTTAAAATTTTATTTTATTTTTTCTCTTGAAAATAGAAGTTTTTGGATAATTTTGATTCTTGAATTTTTTTTCTTATCAATTATCATGTTGATAATGTATATAGATTTATACTCCATTTCGTGAATTTTTGTGATTTTTTCATTATTTTTTGGTGTAAAAATTGCGTTATAAAACACTGGCTCTGGCTGTTTTTTTGCTGGGCTGCAGCGGGTTCCAAGTCGGGTCGGGTCAGGTCTAGCCCAGTGCAAGTTGAAGATGACCGAAAAAAAAAAAAATTGATGCCTGTGGGTTTGGAACACGGGGCTGGGGCGCAGGCTGGACTTTATGTAAGCGTTTTCTGCCCGATGTTTTTGTCAATGAATTGTTACAGTTTAGTATTCATATGTTTTTAGAATTTTTTAAACATTTTAATATTCATACGTTTCTGCTACCTAA